TTATGTCTTTGCCTGTAACTTCTGCCTCCCCAGAATGTGTAAAACCAAACTGTAATCTAACCACCTCAGGACCACTTATTCAAAGCTTCTTGGGTTTGTTTCCCCAGGCCACAGTCACTTATATTGGCTCAGAATAAACTTCTTTGAACTATTTTACAGAGCTTGGTTTTGCTGTTAACAGGGGCCAGTCAGAAAAGTGAAGCAGTGAAGCTCAGAAAGTACCACATGCAGCATACAGAGTCCCTTCTCCTCAGTCACCAGGAGCTCACAAAAGCTCATGAGAAAGTCTAAGTCCATTACAGAAAAGAAAGAAGCTTTATTTTTTTCTGCACATCTGATCAGTGCTGTGTAAAAGTGCGACTCCACGACATCCGGAAATGCTGGACCCAGAGCCTGGCATCTATTAAGAGTCAATGAGTAGTAGCTATTGTTATTATAATAATTATTATTACGTTTTCTCCTGTCACATACCCCCTGAGGATCATACATTCTTTCTCTTTAACCTCTTTACGTTTGATTTAAAATGAGAATGAAATACACACTGTGAGTGACTGATGTAGACCCTGCGAAGTCAAGTCATTTGTATGTTAGGGAAAAATATCCAAAGCTTGGGGGGATAAAAAAAAACAAAACAAAAAGACGATCGTGTAAACTTTTAATGTCATGCTAGAGCATTTTCTAATTAGCTATTTCTTTCCTCACAGTAATATTACTTTGTTTAATTTATTATTCACCATGAAGTCAGGCCCAGATGGCCTCCCTAGTCGGCAAAGATAGATGTTAACTTTTAGAAAACTGAGTTGAAATCTTTTTTTTTTTTTTTGAGATGGAGTCTCACTCTGTTGCCCAGCTGGAGTGCAGTGGCGCGATCTCAGCTCACTGCAACCTCTGCCTCCTGGGTTCAAGTGATTCTCGTGCCTCAGCCTCCCAAGTAGCTGGGATTACAGGCATAGGCCACCACACCCATCTAATTTTTGTATTTTTAGTAGAGACGGGGTTTCACCATGTTGGCCAGGCTGGTCTCGAACTCCTGACCTCAGGTGATCTGTCCACCTTGGCCTCCCAAAGTGTTGGGATTACAGGCATGAACCACCATGCCTGGCCAAAATCTTTTTTTTTTTTTCAGTCTAGTAGATAAGATAACCCCAAAGCTTGTGATTCTATCGTCCTATCAGTCAGTTTTATATTTAACTGAGCAAAGTTATTTCAGCATTTCTTTTTCTACTGATTACACAAACATCAGTTTCTCAAACCTTCTGTGGAATCATTCATTCATCCTGCTGTTTGTCTCCTTAGTGAGCTAAGAAAATCTTTGGCCAATGCCCATCATCTATTTTATGAGAACTATGTTTTTAACCATTTGTGAAATGTGATTTAACACAACTCTTTTGGGGTACCTTCTGTAAACCCAAAATAAAATTCTAAGCCCCCTAGCCATGTAAATGGACCCCTCCTCTCAGCCAGGGGCATTCCAAAGTTAACCTGAAAAACTGTTTCAGGCCATGATGAGAAGGGAGGGTTGGACATGATGTCTCATTATACCCCCTTCCTTTTGGAATTCAGGAAAAGTTAACCAGCATTAACATCAACACAGACCTTAAGTCTGATAAGAAACATTTACAATCTAGTCTCTAGGAAGCCTGCTACCTGGAGGCTTCATCTTCATGATAAAATGTTGGTCTGCACAACTCCTTATGTAATCCAGACATTCCTTTCTATTTTTTAACAACTCATTCAGCCAATAGCCAATCAGAAAATTGTAAAATCTACCTATGACCTGGAAGCACCTCCTCGTCCCACTCTGAGTTGTCCTGCCTTTCCAGATGGAGCCAATGTAAATTTCACGTGTACTGACTGATGTCTTATGTCTCCCTAAAATGTACATAAGCAAGTTGTACCCCATCCACCTTGGGCTTATGTCATCAGGATCTCCTGAGTCTGTGTCACTGGCACATCCTCAACCTTGGCAAAATAAACTTTCTAAATTGATTGAAATCTGTCTCAGATACTTTTGGGTTCAAAACTCTCAGCTCCTGTCTTCTTCACATCTTCCATCATGTTGTCATTGATTTGTCATTTGCGTAATTCCTTGTTCAATGTTTATCTGCCCACCGCCCCCCTGCCATAAGCTAAGCTCCATGAAGTCATGTCTGTCTTATACCTCGATGTGTCTCTAGTGGCCAGCACCTAGTGGACACTCAATATATTTTTCAAGAAAAGCCTAAGATGAAATACGGAGCCAAGACAAGGAAGTCATAAGGTGAACGATCGAAAGATGTGTGTGTGGTCCAAATGATACATTTCTTTCTTGCGAAACCAGTTTGATTTTTATTTTCTTTCACTTGAAGCTGAAAAAGTCCTGAATGAGACAATCCAGATATGTGACAATTTATCTTGAAGAAGTAATAGCAGCCCAATTGCCACTTCTCCCAAAGTTATAGTGGCAGGTTGAGCTATTTCTTCTGACTCCTTGACTCAGTTAACTGTGAAACGGTTGCCAAGGGGGCTTACCCAGCCTCTCTGTTGGTAATATTGAACGAGATATATATATATATATATATATATATTTTTTTTTTTTTCTCCTGCCATAGGAAGGGAGCAAAATAAAATCTTCAGGAGAAAGGAGACACTGCAGCTGACTATGAAAACACCACCCCAGTACATCTGTGATCTGTGGTCAGCCTTGCTAAGGACTCCCAAGGAAGCAGCAGCTTCTCAGACACAATCTGACAGTGGGTTGCACATATCTTTTAGGTGAAGTGTACAAGCCACTCTGGTGTGCATGGAGCCAGTCATGAAACTGTCTTTGCAGAAATTGTAACAGTGAGAAAATGATGTCAGTGAAAGAGATCTGATCTAACTAACCCCCATCTTGCCTTTAACCTCCAAGCTGCCCTAACTCTTTCCTGGGCTTGGGCCAAGTTAACTTTGGGTCAGATTTCATGTTTATTTTGTTCATTTTATTTTGTTTTATTTTATTTTGAGATGGGGTCTTGCTGTGTCACCCAGGCTAGAGTGCAGTGGCATGATCTCGGCTCACTGCAGCCTCTGCTTCCCGGGTTCAAGTGGTCCTCCTGCCTCAGCCTCCTGAGTAACTGGGACAACAGGCACATGCCACCATGCCCAGTTAATTTTTGTATTTTTAGTAGAGACAGGGTTTCACCGTGTTGGCCGATCTCCTGACCTCGTGATCTACCCACCTCAGCCTCCCAAAGTGCTGGGAATACAGGAGCGAGCCACCGTGTCCAGCCTAGTGTATATTTTAAATGATAATAGCCCTCGCCCAAAATGAAACTACCTTCATAAAGCTAATGAGAGACCACTAGGTTAGGAGGATGAAAGGAGCCTGAATTCTGCTACGGTGTAGACATAAAGGATTGCCAGCCATTATTCCAGAGGCCATAAGATTTGCAACTTTCCCAATGACTCCTGCAGATAAAATCACTATTGTAGAACCTAAAATTGGCCTTTTGAGATGTCTCTTCAGGTTTTCTACATTTCTGATAATCAATGGCTTCACCCCAACCAGACCGCCAACCTAACTTTGAAAGAAATTTGTTGTATATTTTAAATGATAACAGCCCTTCCCCAAAACGAAACTGCCTTTGTAAAACTAATGAAATATTGCCAAGTTAGGAAAATGAAAAGAGCCTGAATTCTACAAAGATGTAGACATGGATTATTATCAGCCTTTATCCCAGAGGTCATAACATTTCCAACTTCCCCAGTTACTCCTGCAGATAACATCACTATTGCAGAACCTGAGATTGGCCTTTTGAGATGTCTTTTCAGGCTTTTGCCTTTCTGACTATCAGACTACCCCATGAGATGTCTTTTCAGGCTTTTGCCTTTCTGACTATCAGACTACCCCATCTGGACCTGCCTACTAGTTCTGTGGCCCCACCCAGAAGTGGACTCAGCGCACGAGGACCACTTCTCACATCCCTATTACTGCATCCCCAACCAGTCAGCAGCACCCATTCCCTAGTCACCCTACGCCTTGCCAAACTATCTTTGAAAAGCCCTAGCTTCCAAATTTTCAGGGAGGTTGATTTGAGTTATAAAAAACTCTGTTCTCCCATTTAGCTGGCTCTATGTGTGTAAAACTCTTTCCCTATTGCAATCCTCCTGTCTTGATAAATCGGCTCTGTCTGGGCAGCAGGCACAAAGAAGCCACTGGGCAGTTACAGTCGCATCATATAGTTTAGTAAAGTGGGCCAGATGTAATAAAATAGGGAGTGGTGAGGACGGTGACAAATAGAAAATCCGTGTCCTGGCTAAAGGAGGCATTAACTATTCAACTGTTCTCAATTGTTGTCTTCTACTCCCAGATTTTTAAAATGCTAGAACTAATTCCCTTCCTCCTTCCCTCCCTTCCTCTGTCCCTCCCCCCGTTCCCCCCTTCCTTCCTTCCTGCTTTCCCTCTTTCTTCTTCCTTTCCTTCCCTTTCCCTTCTTCCTTCTTCCTCCTTCCTCCTTCTTCCTTCTCTCTCTTTCTTTCTCTCTCTCTCTCTCTCTCTCTCTCTCTTTCTCCTCACTCTGTCACTCAGGCTGGAGTGCAGTGGCTCAATCTCTGACCAACTTGCTCACTACAACCTCCACCTCCAGGGTTCAAGTGATCCTCCCATCTCAGCCTCCCGAGTGCCTGGGACTACAGGCACACACCGCCATGCCCAGCTAATTTTTCATGTTTTTTGTAGAGATGTGGTTTCACCATGTTGCCCAGGCTGGTCTTGAACTCCTGAGCTCAAGTGATACACCTGCCTTGGCCTCCCAGAGTGCTGGAATTACAGGTGTGAGACACCACACCTGGCCTCTTTCTTTGTTGTTTTTAGTACAAGGACCAAACAAAACATATCTGCGAGGCAGATCCAATCAACCAGACTTCACTTTGGGACTCTGCTTTACTATTTCAATTTTTGGAGAAAAAGGAAAACATACTTGACCCCGTGTTTGATGGAGCAAGCTGTATGGCAGCTTTCAAAGCAAAATCTTACTTACCAGCCATCAACACTGGCTTTCTGAAGTTCAGAAATCCCAAAGGACAAAGATCCCATGAAGTCATTCCTGCTGGTCAAATCCCAATCCCAAATCTCTACTGACAGTCTTCTGTCTTTGTCCGATTCTTTCAGTTGACTGCATAGAGAAAAAGAAAAGACATCAGTAGAAGTCGTAGTAATTTTTCAAGCAGAAGAAATGTACAAGAGGACAAGACCTGGAGGTAGAAATTTTTAAAGATTCCAAGCTGCTGAAAGAAACATATTCAGTTTCCATCCCAGGCTAGCTCTCCAGGGAGTGAGAGCTTTCTCTGTTTGACAGGCTTAAACAGGCAGAGGCCCTAGATTGGCTACGACAAGAACAGTTCTAACTACTTTTGTTATCTTAGGTCTTAATAGGGTTCAGGATATTCAGGAATTCCTATTGCCTGTAAGAAATACAGGTATCAGTTGCATAACTGGGTGTGTATGATTTCTATCTGCACACAGGTGGGTTGAGAATGAGGCTGAGGAAATGTATAGAGAAAAATTCTGGGGAAATTGCCTGTTCTGAGACAAGTCCTTGACTGAGGCTGAGAAGGGGCCCAGCTTTGCCCTGAGAGAGGGAAGAGGAGACAGGACAAGGAACCGTGCTTCTAGCTGGTAGCTAAAAAAGTATGACCTCTAAAGTCAGACTGCCAGAAGCTGAATTCCACTCCACTCCATATTTGCTATGGGACTTTGGCATACTCTTTTAACCTCTATAAACCCTATTGCTACATTGGGAATAAAATGAGTCGATAAAGTCAGATCGCTTAACCCAGTGTTTGTCACACATCATATATGCTCAGTGAATTGGCTGTTATAACTAACTCCTGATGCCTAGATGTATAAGAAAGAGACTCCCAGATTCTTGGAGCCCTGGCCAGGGAAGACCCTCAAGGAGGCTGGTGGAGATGTCCCAGCAGGCTGCAAGCCAAGCATCATCCATAAACCCAGCTCTAGAGAAGCTGTCACCACACCCTGTAGGTTATGTCCCCCTGTTTCCTGAGCCCCATCATTTCTCCCACAACTTGCCTTCACTTAGCAACACATCACACCATTTCCTATCCTACCCACTCCCCCACACCACAGGCATTCTCATCTCTATTAAAAAAAAATAGCTCTAATTTTTTTCTTGGCTCACAACACAAAATTGCAGATGGAAGAGAAGGGAGGGAAAGAGAGGAATGAGGGAGGGAGAAGACAGAGACGGAGGGAGGTAGGGAAGGAAGGAAACAGAAGCTAAAGGAGGAGGAACTCCCTGATGTCAAGTGGCCCATAACCCAACCTCCACCACCCGTGCTCACTGCAGTCATTTCCACTTACAATCTAAAGGTCTCGTTCCACTCAGGGTTGAGGGAGCATTTGATGGTTTTGGTCTTCTGTTTGCTCTCACTTTTGGGATCAGGAATCAGTTTCAGTTTTACGTAGGGATCTGACAGGCCATTGGGGTCCATAGGTACAAGGTTTTTAGCATCTCTTACTGAAAAAGAAAAAGCAGTTTTTGCCTTAATACTGTCCAACATGTTTAAGCACCAAGCCGTGACGGCTGCAGAACTTGTGGAAGGTTCTTTGGCATCACACTTGTTTAGTGAGAAATTTAATTTTATTAACATCCATAGCTGAAGCAGCACACAAAACGAGATGGGCTGATAAGATGTCAACTCTGTTCTGTGTTGGTTAAAAATGGATTTCCGACTTTCACACAGCTCTTCCCATACGAAGATTAACTGTAAGTTTTCTAAGCTTATTTTCCACAAAGCCCACAGGAAAGGCTGGCTTCTTTCGTTTAGCATAAGGTTTTCAAAGTTCACCACACTATAGCATGTATCGGCCCTTCATTTTTTTGCATGACTGAATAATATTCCATCGTACAGATATCCTACATTTTGTTTATCCATTCAGCAGCTGATCCACAGTTGGGCTGTTTCCACTTTTTGGCTGTTGTGAACACTGCTGCTATGAACATTTGTATACCCAGCACAAAAGGTCACATATTGTATGATTCCATTTACATGAAACATTCCAAACAGGTAAATCCATAGAAACAGAAAGTAGACTACTATTAATAGTTGCCAGGGGCTGGAGGGAAAGGGAAATGGGGAGTGACTGCTTAATGAACACAGGGTTTCTTTTAGAGGTGATGAAAATTTCTGAGAACTAGATAGAGATGATGGTTGTCCAACACTGTGAGTATTCTATAAATGTCACTGAATTGTACATTTAAAAACAGTTAATGATTAATTTTATGTTATGTTAATTTTACCTCCATTCAAAAAGAAAAAGCTAAAAAAGAAAGGAAGAATTAGCCTCTAAACCAAAGTACACCTATTATCCACGTATCACCCATAACCAGCACCCAGACAGCCCATAGAGAGAAGGTGGGGAAAATGTCAAAAGGGTTAGAGCTTAGCTCCACCCTGAGTCCAGAACACCAAGGTAAAGGAGGTTATAAGGCTAACATGGTGAAACCCTGTCTCTACTAAAAATACAAAAAAAAAAAAAATAGCTATGCGTGGTGGCAGGCGCCTGTGGTCCCAGCCTGCCCAGAGGCTGAGGCAGGAGAATGGTGTGAACCCAGGAGGCAGAGCTTACAGTGAGACGAGATTGTGCCACTGCACTCCAGCCTGGGTGACAGAGTGAGACTCCATCAAAAAAAAAAAAAAGGTGAACTTAGAGGAGAAAAGGAGGCAGAGAATCAGCAGTGAAGACGCAACTGGCCATAGAAAGGATGAGGGAGACTAAATCATCAGCCTGGAGACACAGGAAGTAGTTAATTAGGAATCAATTCAGAAACCAGTAATGCGGGTAGTCAATGGAAGGAGACTAGAAAATGATAATTGTATAGCTCTTAAGGATACAATGTCAATCATCTCACTTACAGTAGAACAATCCACAGTAATATATTCAATCCAAATTGACTCTAACTATCTGCTAAAAGGTGAATATATAATGACTCCTATCAGGAATGCAAAGATGGCTCAACCTTAGGAAATCTATTTTCAATATATTCATCATATTTGTAGATCAAAGAAGAAAACCACAAGACCATTGCAGTTATCTAGAAAAAGCAAATAATTTTATTAACAGGATAAAGGCTATCTGCAATAACAGCACCATGTTCATGATAAATGTAATTCCATTAAAGTAAGGAATAAGACAAAGGTACCCATTACCATAGCCATTATTCAATACTTTTTTTCTTGTGTTCCACAAGTACAGTAAGAAATAAAGAGTTACCCTCTAAACCAAGATGCACCTACTACCCATGTATCATCCATAACCTGCACCCAGACAGCCCATAGGGAAAAGGCTGGAAAAACATCCACAGCATAAATAAAACCAGAAATTTTGTAAATTCAAGATGACAAGAAAAACAGATTAGAAGGAAGAATATTGGAAAGTACCCCCTCACTTCCTGCAACCTTTGCTCACCCCCAATCATAGTCATCTCCTCCCATGGTCATGCTCTGGAGCCTATTATCCCAGAAATTATACCACTTTCTCAATCTCAGTTTCAAGTACCCTACTGTCTTACACTAATTTCTATTTTTCCAGTTCATTAGCTCTATTATTCTACTGCAATAAATCTTCCCCTATTCATCAGTCCATTCTCCACCAATCAGTCCCTTGAACCCAACACACTCTCTTGATCTCCCTATTCCCTCTTGCTTTTACTCCATTCATCCCCAGATTCGATTTTATGGTGCATTTTAGCTGCTCCCTTGGAAAGACCCTCAACTCCCTTGCCCCTCTTAATACCCCAGCCCTACTTAAATTCAAATAACTGTCCTTTCTTACTCTGTCCTTTTCCTACACTCAAACAGCTGACCATTGCTGGAAAAAAAATAAGACTGACTTCCCTAAAATCATACAACTAGTAAGGGGTTGTGACCGAATAAATGAGATGGGAGAAGCACTGAATTGGCTACCAGGATGCAAGCTGTAACTTATTCTGTGCTGACATTTTTTCTGCACTCCAGCAATATGGCACTGTCTTCTATTTTTCCACAGGCTGAATTCATCTTCCATCTCAGCTTGCAAGCTACATCTCATTTTTATACCAAAAGCAAGATGTTGACCTTGATCAGTTAAGTTCAACAAGCAAGTCCCTACAAAGTGCTAAGCATTCTGCTAGGCTCTGGGGATATAGGGGTCAAAATAAAACGTTAATGTTTTCCCCAGGACAGACCATATGGTGTCATGGACACAGGACAACAAGATCCCAGGGTCCACATCTTACCAAGCAGTTACATCACACATATGAACCTCAATTTCTTGATCAATAAAATAAGGTTGTTACAAGAGTAAAACTGTACAAAGAATATACATGTTTAGCACAGAACCCGGAACTTAGAAAATACTTCAATAAATGTTAACTGTTATATATTACTGCTATTTCGTTATTATTCTTATTCATATTCATTGCCCTCTTTCACTACGTTTTTGGTGTGTGTGTGTGTGTGTGTGTGTGTGTGAGAGAGAGAGAGACAGGGTCTCACTCTGTCACCCAGGCTGGAGTGCAGTGGCATGATCATGGCTCACTGCAGCCTCAACCTCCCGGGCTCAAGTGATCCTCCCACCTCAGCCTTCCAAGTAGCTGGGACTACAGGTGCTTGCCAACCCATGCCTAACTAATTTTTTAAAAAAAATTTTGTAGAGGTGGGGGTCTCTTCATGTTGCCCAGACTGGTTTCAAACTCCTGGATGCAAATGATCCTCCGGCCTTGGTCTCCCAAAGTGCTGGGATTACAAGTGTGAGCCACTGTGCCTTGCCTATTTGTCTACTTTTATTATTCTTAACCATTTCCAAATGGACTGACTTCAAATGGAACAATTTGTGGTTTTCTTCTTAACAATGTATTTGATGTTTACTTGAACCCTTCCACAGGAGAGCTTCTTGTGCATAAAAATTATTCAGAGGACTTATGAGACACAGATCTCTGGCATCCACCCCCACAGATAGATTCTGATTCCCTAAGTCTGCAGTGAAACCTGTCCATATGCTTTTCTAACATGTTTCCATGTGATGCTGATGCTGCCAGTCTATAAGACACGCATTAAGTAACATTGTTCTGGAGAATAATAATTTCTCAAAATAACCATGCATTTTCCCCATAGAATGTAATATCCAACTGTTACTTTCATTTCTTGAGCCTTCCAAGGAAAATAACATGTACCAGCTTCTAGGCTGGGATCTTGAAGTGACACATCTATCACATAGTGAGCTGCACGCACACAGGATTGAGATACTCAGAAGCGCCAGAAGCTTGTCTGTCAGGTTGATTGACAACACAGAGGCAAGAGGAAACAGCTCATCTTTCTTCTCCCTGGCAAGGCCACTCCCCCTCCTCCGCCCCAGTCTTATGAACTGACACCACAAGGATAGTCACCGGAAAAAGATCTTCTATCGTAAGGTTAAGGAATTTACAGCTCTTTTAGAGTGCTCTTTGCTGGACAAGTGTTGTATTTTGAAGCTGTCAATCTCAAGACTCGTGGTTTAAGAGTAATTTTTTTTTTTTTTTTTTTTTTTGAGACAGGGTCTCGCTGGAGTGCAGTGGCGCAATCACGGCTCACTGCAGCCTTGATCTCCTGTGCTCAAGCAATGCTACCACCTCAGCCCCCTGAATAGCTGGGACTACAGGCAAGTGCCACTACACCTAGCTAACTTTTAAAAAATTTTTGTAGAGATGGGGTCTCACTATGTTACCCAGGCTGGTCTCAAACTCCTGGCCATGAGCGATCCTCCCACTTTGGCCTCCCAAAGTGCTGGGATTACAGGTGTGAGCCACTGTGTGCCGCCAAAAATGCCCTTTTCTTGGGCATCTAATCGTCACAGAGCCAAACATTACTCACTGAGGCATGACTCCACCTCTTCCCTCACCCTTATAGGTCCTTTCTTCTACTTTAGTCCTTTTGAGCTTATTCTCTACCAAAGGGGCCAAAACAGTCCGTGGAACGGAATGCCGTGGAATGGATCCTGAGACTGCTGGCATTCACATCTCCAAGAGCTCTGGCTACTAAAATCACTCTATCATGAGCAGTTGACAGTAGCTGCAGGCTAAGATCCAAAGGGCTGTCCCTCCTGAAGCGTTTCAAAGTTGAGTCGTGTTTCCCAGCAGCAAGAGAGCCGCATATGTATCGCGGAAGCAAATCTCTCTAGACCACACTTGGCGAGACCGACTTTGATTTTTCTTGATAAATGTTTCTTTACTATCTTTGTTGAAACCCAGCCAGCCCAGATGGTACCAAATGCTTCACACAAAGCAGAAATAGCAAACGTCCCCACTGGTGGAAGTTTGCTAAGTGTACAGGAGAAGCGTGTCCTGGTCCAGAGAACACTGTTTGCCCTGGGCGTGGGGCTCTGGGTGCAGGGTGAGGTCTGCCTGTTTCCATCTACCGGTCTTTAGAGCAAGCGAGGCCTCTGTATTCTGGTCCAAGTTCCTTAAGACAGCACTGAATCCATAAAAATATAGCACGCATG